ATATATATGTGTGTATATATGTATATGTATATACACACGCGTGGCTAAGCCTGCAGGTTTAGAGGGAAAGGTTGAAAGTCCAACCCATTCTTTTTTTATTCACTATCTGTATCAGCTTCTTGAATCTTTATAGAATAAATACAGATCACGGGCTCGGGCCTACTGACCCTTGGGCTGCATGAGACCAGTGCGTTTTGCAAGATGAAGCTGCAGCAGAGGAGCCTAAAATGCCCCTTTGCTCAAAAGCTTAAAATGCTTCCCAGTCAACTTTGTCCATAAACCAAAAAGTGAAGACAACCCCAAAACATAAATGTTTCCTGTGATATAAGAGTAATCCTAAATAGTAGTTGTAGGAACTGGACATCTGAACAAACCTGCCCTTGTCAACTACATGCGAGTTTTTCTGTGTGTTGATTTAGCCGTCATAAAAAGGTGATTAAAGAGTTTCCTATCATCCTCCCCATAGTCAAAACAATCTGCTGGAATAGCTCTTAATTGCTTTGTTAACACATGGATGTTTTCAGAAGTAAAAGAGCAGTAGTCAAACAGACAGTGCTTCTCAGAAGGAAGATTTCCTACAGCGTGTAAACATGAAATAAATCTTTACTTTAAAAGGAAAAAAAGTTAACCCCAGATCAAACATTTACAAGGCTTTTTAGAAATGTTCTTCCTTTATTCTACCACTATCCTCGGCAGGTTTGTCTGATGTGGTTGCTTTGTGGGTTGAATCACCTGCTTATTATAGTTTTGTAAAAGGATGGCTTTGAAAATGATACCAGAAAGACAAAATACCTCCACCTCTTTTTATGGGACTTTGTGCTTTAGGAACTAGAAAACTAGCATGATTTACATACAACGGAGTTTTTAATGCTTGCTCTTTGTAAAGGATTTATTTCCTTTGCTGCTTGGTAATGTAAATAAGAAACCTGCCAAAGCTCAATTAAAATTCAAAACATTTTAAATTATTGTATAGTCCAGACAGTCCATCTGTCTGAGAGTGAAAAATGGTCCTGAATGAAAAAGAGTAATCATAAATACAGCAAATAGACAAAAAATTATAATCAAAATCAAATGCACTATTAAAAACCACTTACCTTAGATTCAGGGTTTTTTTTAGTGTTTTGTGGTTTTGCTGCTGCACAGCAAAATGTTAGGTATGATTCCAGAACAACTTCTTTTTGAGGCTTTGTTTACATTGTTAACAACTTCCAAAAAGCCAGTTCACACGTTCCCCTTCTTTCATGTTTTATATGTACTGTAATCTGTGTATATCAATTGGTTGAATATGTTGGCACACCCTTGACAAATTCAGGTTTCAAATAGTGCCTCATCTCCCAGATACTTTATATTATTAATATATATTATGTTTTTGGGCAAATGTAGTATAAATAATGCTGTAATCCAACCATTAGCAAATAAGCAGCATTTTTCATGCACATAAAAAGCTTGCACTGAAGATAGCAAGTTGTGTCAAGAGGTGTGGGTCCATATGCTAGATAAGATGTCTGGCAAATACTTTTTTTTTTTCCTGTGGGTAGATTCTGTTATATAAAATTCCCATCTGTACTTTGATTTCTGTTCAAATGATCTAATAATGGATGTGTTTTTTTAAGATAGTGCTATAGAGAAAGTAAAGTATATTTTCAGGTAATTGAAACTTATCTTCCAATGTTTGAGTAGGCAGTTTAGCAAATAGTGTATAATCATTGTAGATTTGAACTGCATAGTACTGAATGGTTTAGCCTCAGAGCTGGATAAAATCCTTTCATATTCAACATTTTAAAAAAAAAAAGTTTTCTTAAATGGTGTAGGATTTTTGTTCCTAGATGAGGCTTCTCATACTGCTTTCCTGTGAAAGTTTTATACTTTTCCAAGCAGTATTTGAAATTTCAGAGAAACTAGGTCACATTTATTATAATACGTAGGTTTTCTACTTGTTTTCAACTGTGTTTTGGATGCTACGTACTGTATGCTTACAAGTTGAATTAAAGCAATTTTTTTTTTTTTTTAGGTATCCTTGAATTCATCAGTGTGGCAGTGGGACTGGTCAGCATTAGGGGTGTGGACAGTGGCCTTTACCTTGGAATGAATGAGAAGGGAGAACTCTATGGCTCTGTAAGTACCACTTTCACATCAGCTCATACATGTTGAGCTTTTGATTAGCTTCTTAGCACTATGCAAACCCCTCAAGTAGCTAGCTGAGGTTGTCTTAGCTTTCCAAACAGTAACATCTTTTCCTGATGAAATGGATAATCTATTTTTAAAGTATACAGTATAGCCTTGGGTATTGATGATTCAATGGCAAGAGTTTCTCTGTCCTAGAAGAAGAGAAATGAAAAGAAATATTCCTCTTATGACAAAAATAGCTAAATTACACCAGCTATTCAAACAACATTTAAGTTGCCTGCTATCTTATTTTCTTTTTATCAATACTACAGATGCATCATAGTACATACTCTATCATCAAAAACACTTGACTTACTTTATATATAGCCTAATGCGTTTACAGATCAGCATATGGTACTTCCAGTTACCAGCTTTTTAACATAAAAGCATGCTTTCAAATGTTGGGCTAAAGAGAATAGTAAGATATGCCACAGTTAGGTACCACTGTTATTTGCAAAATCTGAATGGTGCTAGAGTACTGGCATTATGTGTGGATCCCGACTGGAATATTTGCATTTAAGAATGGAAATAAGATTGTACTCATTACATTTGATTTGTATCTGTTGAATAACTTCAACATATAACTGTAAAAATATAATCTTTCCATTTTCTAATACTATCAGGTTAGTAACAGTCTTAGACTCCTTTCCTTTCAAGCCTTAAAACATCTTGACATAAAATATTTTGTCTCTCCAGTTCCTTTGGTTGTGGTTAGTCCTGTTTAAAATGTCAGAAGTGATGCACATCACAAAGAACACATGGAAATACCTTCCTGATCTGTTATATTGCACCTGAGTCCCCCACCAAACTTCACTTCTAGGATGGTAGATACCCCAAGACAGAACTCTGCATAATACAGTTCCTGTAGATCAGGTGCATTTTAGCTAAATCTTAAACATGTGATGCCTTCTTCGTAAGAGTGTTATCTAATCCATGTTTGATTCCAAAACTATGTATGTTTATAGGATAAAGATTAAAGTAGGCTTCCAAATTCAGTGTCAGGTCTACATACTCTTCTTGGGTCTGATTTGTTGATGGTTAAATGAACAGTAATGTTGCGCAGAGACTAAAACATTTTGTTTATTTTTATCATATTTTTTTGTGTGTGTTCAGATATCTAGCAACAGCTTGACTTATTTTTCTTCACTATTCCTTTCTGTAGGAGAAACTAACTTCTGAATGCATCTTCAGGGAACAGTTTGAAGAAAACTGGTACAACACTTACTCATCCAATGTGTACAAGCATGGAGATTCGGGGCGGCGATACTACGTAGCACTTAACAAAGATGGTACCCCCAGAGACGGGGCAAGGTCCAAAAGACACCAGAAATTCACACATTTCTTACCCCGGCCCGTGGATCCTGAAAGAGTTCCAGAACTCTACAAAGATGTGTTAGGATACAGCTGAGGAAGGAGGGAATTTTGGAAAAAACCCATACTGGAGCTGTTGGCCCTGCTTTCATGGCAATACCAGCATGAGAAACCTGCAGAGGTCTAGGGTGCTGAATTGGAAGAAGCTGCTTTGTTAGGTAGCCTAACAGCAGGCTGCCTGCTGAAAACAGCAAGCTTCTGTTTTCTAACCACTGGATTTAGGAGACAAAGCCTCAAAGCTGAGAGTGGAC